CTGCTCCCCTCAGCAGTGTACTTCATCCATCTGCCTGTTCTGCTCCCCACTCTGTCTCTGGTGACTCCTCTTACCCTCCGCATCTCTGGCCTGTACCCCATTCTGTATAAATAAATAACTCTTTAAAAAAAAAGTCTCTCACTGGGCACTTGGCCTGAGTTGATATTTTCTCAAGCATATACCTATTATCCAACTGGATAAGTTCTAATGCTCAGTCACATTTTATACAATGAGCTTTGTAAACCTGTGCTCGATCATAGCATGACAGAGCAAAACTCCAGGTTCATATCTGCATTTTATTATTAGGAAAGAGGTGAAAATGTTGATGGGAAACTCCTCTCAAGAAGGGAGACAAACAAGGCATTCCTAACACTGGTTCCTTGTCACCTTAAACCCACAGGTGGATAAAATGGCCAGTCTTTACAACATCCAAGTGCGAACTGGCTGCTTCTGTAACACGGGGGCCTGCCAGAGGTACCTGGGGATAAGCAACGACAAGGTCAAGAAGAATCTGCAGGTTGGTACCTGTGGCCCCAGCCCTAGGCGGAGAGACCCCGTGGTGATGCTTCTAGCCCTGGTCTGTCTTTTGACCCCTATGTGGGCCAACTCTGTGCCCAGGTCTGGGTAATTACTTTGAAGAATTTCTTCTAAATGTTTTAATGACCTCACGGGATTGGGACTCACCTCAACGTACAGAGGAGCAAAGGAGGTCCAGAAAGCAACCCCTGTCCTGGTGGAACTCACCTCAGTAGCACAACACATAGCCAGGGAGCAGTTCATTTTGTTTTACAAAAGTGTTTTCAGGGCTCTCCCTGGTGGCACAGAGGTTAAAGTCTCAGTGCTATCAAGCTATCACCAGTCTCTGCAGCATGAGTTCAGTCCCTGGCCCTGTTGCTGACCCACATGGCAAGGCAGACCTCTCCTGTCTCCCTGCTGCTCCCCTCAGCAGTGTACTTCTTCATCCGTGTTCCTGTTCTGCTCCCCACTCTGTCTCTAGTGAATCTTCTCACCGCCCCTGCACCTCTGGCCTGTACCCCAGTTCTATATGCATAAATAAATAAATCTTTAAAAAAACAACCAAAGTGTTTCCAATCCACCCATGGGAGGTGAGTCACTCTGGCTGCCTGCTAGTTTCCCTTTGATTCTAGGCTGGTCATGTCTGCGGCGATGATGTGGATCTCATCGATGGGCAGCCCACAGGATCTGTGAGGATTTCATTTGGATACATGTCTACACTTGAGGATGCCCAGGCCTTTCTCAGGTTCATCATAGCAACCCGACTGTGCCCATCCCATGATCAGTCTCCCCTTCAAGTCACCCCCAAGGAGGCTGGAGCCCTACCAGTGGAGGATGAGGCTGGGAACGTGTCTGCTGCTGTGGACAGATGTAGTCCCTCATATCATGAAGACACCCCTGCAGACTCCCGGGTTTGGAACAACCTGCCCACTGCTGTGGATGTGGTGGGTTTGCACCCACCTCTGTCTGAGGCTGTCAGAACCCAAGACACCCCTTCAGAGAAAGCTCCAGGAATCCCTGATAAGGTCATTGGGACACACGTCATCACCAACCTTTATCTCTACCCCATCAAATCTTGTGCAGCATTCGAGGTAAGGGCTTTATTTATTTTTTTAAAAAGATTTATTTATTTGTGCATACAGAACTGGGTTACAGATGTGTGGGGGGTGAGAGGATTCACCAGGGACAGAGTGGGGAGCAGAACAGGCAGACTGAAGTCCACTGCTGAGGGGAGCAGCAGGCAGGGCAGGAGAGGTCTGCTGCACACACCATTGTGAGTCAGCTCCCTGGCCAGGGATTAAACTCTTGCTGCAGTGGCTGTGATAGCTTCATAGTGCTGTGCTTTGAATGTTGAGCCACCAGAGAGGGTCCCTTGAGGTAAGGGCTTTAATGGCAAAAGAGACTGCTTCTTTTCTTATTATTTACTTTAAAATACTATTTTGACAAAGTAGAAAAATGTTCAGGGAAGAAAAGTATGAAAAAAAATCAAAATCTCATTCAGAGTATTGTGACATACACTCGATCTAACCAAAAGACCGAAAAGCGACAGTATTGCGCATGAAGAGCACTTTCATTTTGCCTTTCTTGGCTTGGGATGAGTTTTGAATGTGGCTTTGCTAATGGGGACTCCTAAGAAGACCCTATTTCTGAGTGGTGAGCACCTCATACCTGTGATAAAATAGGGAAAGCGGGGAAAAGAGCAGGCCGGAGGAGGAATAGGAGGTCACTGTGGCACACAGCAAGTTCTGGGTGCTCGTAAGTTTGTGGAGTAGGGGGGTGGCTGTGTACGTCTGATACTTGTAACACCTGTGAGAAATTGGCTCTCCGTATCCTCAGTGAATCCTTCTTGCTCAACTCCCTTATGAAGCTAGAATCTCACTGCCCTGCCCCAGCTGAAAGCTCAGTCTATGTATTTCCAGTGTCTCTCTCTCTCTCCATACATCTATAACTCTATTGGAAAGCAAGCATGCATGTGTGTATGTAGGTATTTATGTTAGTTTGGACTCATGGACATTTAGCTTCATTGATGGATTTTCATCCAATACTATATTATTAATAATTTTGCTCAAACTGTTCCTGTTTCGGTCACTTTCAGTTGATGTCCACTCGTGCACCTTGCACACATATTACCCATTAGAAAAACAGGCTGAAGTAGGAAAGGGTGAAAAATGAATCTGCAAGGTGAATGAAGGTTTCTAGATTGCACACTATCTTTTCATTTTGCTTTATGTCTTGTTCCTGACCATCTTCCTCCAAGAGTATGTGGTGAATTTAGGAAGCCTGTCTGTGTTTGTGCAGTCCCTGTGTAACAGTGATAAAATCATTTTTCTTTTAAACATTCTATTTTTTTAAAAGATTTATTCATTTATTCATACAGGACTGGGGTATAAGCCAGAGGTAAAGGGGCAGTGAAAGGGTTCACCAGAGACAGAGTGGGGAGCAGAACAGGCAGATCGACAAAGTATACTGCTGAGGGGAGCAGCGGGTGGGTCAGGAGAGGTCTGTGGTGCTGTGCTTTACCTGCTGTGCCACAGGGAGGACCCTAAAATGTATATTTCTAACACAACTAGGGTGCCACAGAACAAACATAAACATCTGAATTTCGGACTCCTATATTCTTTCTATTTTAAGATTTATTTATTTATGCATA